CCCCAAACCTATCTAATATTCATAAGTGAAATAGAATAAAAAATATGTCTGCGACTGCTGACAGTTTCCCGCCGACTCGATAATTTAACACTGGCGCCATCTCGCGGCATTCTCCCATCTGAACTTCTTTACCACACAGCACACCATCAATAATTTCTCCTAATTATACAAAATAAAACCTATTAATGGGTATTAATTGGGACCAATTGTTTGTCTATCAGCATTTAAATAATTTTTTGATTATATTCCAATCATTTTTGGCCCATTTTTCGCCTTAAAATGACATCCATGCACATCCATGCTACATCCATGCTACAACATGGATGTACCATGGAACCTCAATCGCCAGGGCAATTGAATCCTCTGCGTCTAATCTTATTACAACATTAAATTAAGAGTTGTCTTCTCTTGCTCCCATAGGCAAATTCAAGATAAAAGATATTACGAGGGTCTGGTGCAAATAAAAATCCGTGAGCTCACTCAAGAAATATCCACCATAACCCGTGAGATTGACTCTCAAAACAAGGAGCGAGCCACCTTCCTACACTACGATGACCGAGCCAAAAACTTAGCCAGTGAACTAACAGACTTGCAAGGACAACTGGCAGACTACAACATCGTCATCGACAAGGTGACCTCGAACATGGAAAAAGATTCAATGGAACAAGAGTCCGCCGATCTTCGCGCCTTGAACGATAAGGCAACCGAAGAGATTGAGATACTTTTCGAACAACGACGCTCAAAAGAGCAACAATTGAGACAAATGGAGGAAAAAATTGAATTGGAAGAGCGGAAGGAGGAAAGAGTTGTCGAGGGAATGAGTTTAGATGTTCGTGCTAAGTACGAAAAATTGAAAAGTTTGAGGAACGGTCTGGAGGATGAGATATCTCAAATGCAGAAGAATATAGATCGCCTGTCAACCGAAAAACAAAACCTAGAAGAGCAAATAGTGCTATCTCAAGTGAAACAAGAAGCTGTAAAACTTCGCGTGAAGATCGCTGATGTTGAAGAAAAGCGACATCGACTGCAGGAGGAGCAAAGGAACAAACTGTCTCCCGAAGAAGAACGAGAAAAATTACTAACAAAAGTTAAACAAGATAATATGGACATCGTAGCCGCAGAGAAAAGGATAAGCGAAGCGAAGAAACAAATACAACAGATTGAACAAGAGATGGAGCAGTTGGAAATGGACATAGAGGAGAATCATTCAGAGAAACAAGTAAAGTACAATGAATTACGAAAGAGAGAAGAAGCTATCGAACAGTTTATGCCCACATTCGAGCAAAATAAAGCCGAAGAAACTAATAAAATAGCTAAAACAGAAGAGGAGATCATCGACAAATTGAAGAGGTTAGCCTGTATTATCGACAACGAGTCTGGACAGTTTGGAATGGACGAAATTGCACTTCTAGATATTTGTTCAAACGAAGAAAATGAGGATCAAAGCTTCGTCGGTCTTTGCAAACAACACTTGAAGCTCCAACAAGCTGTAAAAAAAATGGAACGATTGGAAAATAAATTGAAAGCTGAATTAGTTAATTTGCTCGACAAAATCAGAACAAAGGAGAATGAACTCATTGTTTTGGAGGATCTAGATGGACTTAAAACAAGATCTCAAATGCAATATGAGGAGTTAGGGACTAGAAAAGAAGAGTTGAGAGGACGACAACCGAATTTGGAAAAAGAATTAAACTTAGTGATAAACGAACACCAAAATCTAAAACGAGAATTAGATAATAACGACATTTATATACAAATCAGCGCATTAGAGGAAAAACACGAAAAATTGAAAAAAGGCAATGAAAATATGGAATGTTTCATTAATGACGGTAAAAACCGGGTAAATTATTTACCTTTGAGAGAGAAGGCTCTTTCACTCGTCAATAGTTACAATGAGTTTCTGAAGGAGAACCCTAAGTCCATGAATTAATTCACAAGTGATTAGATGAATTGTTTTTCGCCTGTAATTTTTATAGACCTTCTCTTTCCACTCACGAAAAAAATGAAAAAATTGGTTTGAATAATTTTAATCAGAGAAATGTTTTTATTACCCTTCATATTTAATTATTTGATGGTTCTACTAAATATGAGATAATGAAAGTAATTCATAAATCCTTTTTCAGACATCTTCTCTGGGTTCTTCACTTGCTTCCAGCATATTTCGATAATGCTTTAACTTTTTCTTAGATTTTCTTATCTTCTTTTGATATCTTGGGCCTTCTGAAGCTCTGAAGCATTAAATGAAAAGGAAATTTCATCTATTTTTCAAAATACTGTATAATGCAAGGAGGGTGCAAATGACGTTTTTGACGAGTGTGGGGTTTAAAGCCCGAATCAGGACGTGGTTCTAATCACACAAGTGACGTTCTGTTATTTCCTTTTACAACGTATACTGAAGTGCCGGTTCACAGCACGGTGAGCGATAATACATTAGAGCACTAGAGCACAAATGCCGTTTTTGATGAATATGTAGTTTAAACGCTGAGTCGAAAGCGATATCAGTATTCACATTCGTTGAAAAGAAAATTTATGTGCGAGTGGTCTATAATATTTTTTCTCATTCCGGCCGTAAGGCGGAATTACAAATTCTCGCTGCCTACGGCCATTATGATAAAAAATTCTGTTCATCACGCGGCCGAAAAAAAGGTTTCTAGCTCATATGATTGCGGCCTACGAACTCGTATTTACCAGAAATGTTTTTTTCGGCCTAATGACGAAATAGACTATTATGGCACTCCATACACCAGTCGTGTTTGAAGCGATTAAGTCGACTTATTGCGTGGCGTGGCATAAATCCAATTAGTATACGCAACGAAATAATCAAAGCCAAGCTTGAACATGATATTTAGATTATTTAGTAAATAAGTCAGATTTAATATCAGTAGATGCAGCAAATTCTATCAAGAGACTTTTGTTGAGGAATGATTCTCTATGAAAGTAGTTATGTACTTGAAATATTCTCTACAGCCCACTCAGTTGCGTCATAGACACTGATCAATGTTTGTGTGTTCGAATGCCGCATAAAACACAGATTAAAAATAAAATTCTTACATATAGTAATAAATCACAGAATTTCTCCATTCTACACGGAGAGAAAACAATCGGAAACAATCTTGCGATCGCAAGACTTTTACGTCAAAAGGATCCAATTGTTGGTGTTATTCCTTACTGGTTATATCCTTGTTGTTGAAGAAAAGTACCAATTCTTCTTCAATATTTATATAGCAGCCCTGGTGATCCAGGAGCCACGGTACTTGCGTGGCTGTTGCGTGGCTAATAGGATTGTCATTTTCTGGGGCTAAAAAGGGAGAAATAATATCTAAAAACACAATAAACGTGGATAGACGAATTATTAGTTTATATTTGTACTGTTTATAACATTGTTTTCTATCAATTGATTGAAATTAATGTGAGTGTATATAATGATAAAACAATACCCGTAGGGGGAATGCCGAGAGATGGCGGCAGTGTCGATATCCCAACGGGGTCGGTCAAGTCGACAGCAGTCGCAGCCAGAATAAGTGAGACCCCAACAGAGGTGGGGCGCCACGGTCGATTCTAACGGCTGGGCGAGCTGCCTGTGCCGGTAATTCGGCAGTAGGGCCAGAAGAAGANGCCTGTGCCGGTAACTCGGCAGTAGGGCCAGAAGAAGAATATCCATGGATTTTTGGAGTGGGGGACAAGCATATGAGTGGGAATTACGTAGAGTGGGGTATCCTGGGCACGGAAAACATTGCTAGAAGCCCTATAGCAGTCCCGCTGTCACAGGGGTAGGTTCGAAGGGGGGTTTATGTCCTCCTTGTGCTCAATGTTTACTTTATGTTTTTCCGTTGATTCATTCGCCCGCTAATTAATATTATGGGATGAGACGAGGACTTTTCGATGGAGAATTAGATTCCCCATCTATCAACCCCCGTTTCATCCCTTAATCTTTGTTATAAAAAAATTAAAACTGCGACGAAAGTCCCGGCGCTGTGAGAAAGCTAATGGTTTCTCGGTGCAGTGACTCCCGATAATTCGCCCGCTAATTAAAAAATCGTCTCTCCCCTCCTAATTAACATTAAGGAATGAAACCAACGCTGTTCGATGGAGAATTAAATTCCCCATCCA